TGGGCGGCGCGCCTCGCGGGGGAGGCAGACGGCAGGAGGGGGCGGCGCGGCGCCTGTCCCCCTGCAGGGGGATTTTCGACGAAACAAAAATGATCCCAGTGCGACCCTACCTAGGAGTTGGAACCCCTAGGAAAGCAGCATTAGTAGTAACAGTAACGCTAAGCTAACGCTAAGCTAACGCTAAGCTAACGCTAAGCTAAAGCTAAGCCACAGCTAAGCTAAAGCTAAGCTAAAGCTAGGCTAAAGCTAAAACTAAGCTACAGCTGAGCTACAGCTAAGCTCAAGCTAAGCTAAAGCTAGGCTAAAGCTAAGCTAAAGCTAAGCTACACGCTAAGCTAAAGCTAAGCTAAAGCTAAGCTAAAGCTAAGTCAAAGCTAAGCTACAGCTAAGCTCAAGCTAAGCTAAAGCTAAGCTAAAGCTAACCTAACGCTAAGCGAAAAGCTCAGCGAAACGCTAAGCTAAAGCTAAGCTACAGCTAAGCTAACGCTAAGCTAAAGCTAAGCTAAAGCTAAAGCTAAAGCTAAAGCTAAAGCTAAAGCTAAAGCTCCCAGGGGACTGGGGGGAACCGCTCCCAGGGGACTGGGGGAGCTGCCCGGGGCGCTTTCCACTGCCCGGCCCCTTTAAGCTAGAGAGTAAGAACCCTTCTAGGCAGAGCCTAGGTAGGGGAAAAAAACCCAAAAATGCGCAAAAGATGCACCAAAAAAGTCAAAACATAGTCCCCAGACTATTGTTTGACTATTTTTGAATTTCCCCCCTGTAGAGGGACAGGCCCGACGTAAGTCTACGGCCCAAGACGGCCCACGAGGCCCTCCAGATGCTTCCAATACGGCCCACAAGGCCTCCAAGAGGTCCTCCAGGAGGGCCCGAAGAGGCCCAAATCATGGATTTCCCGCGGGGATTTGAAGGATTTTGGCATTCGCTTCTTCTTTCGGCAGTCCGACGGCGCAAGGCGGCCCACGAGGCCCCCAAGATCGCCCAAGAGGGCTCCAGGAGGGCCCCGTGATGCCAACTTTTCTTCCTTCGGGGATGGACAGACCCCCCTTTAGTAAAACGTGGTTTAGTGAAAACGACCTGAGGTCCAAACCTGGCGGGCGCAAGCCTGGAAAATAACGGCCACGGCGCCCTCTCGAGAGCCGAAAACGGACAATTCACTAATCGACGTGTCACTGTTGGGGGTTCTGTCCACCCCCGATTCCTCTACGATTGGGGAACCTCACGACGGGAGGCCTCTCGCTGGTTTCTGCCTCCGGGGGGCCTCACCGGGCTCCAGGGCCGTCAAAAAACGACTCAGGAGGAGGAGGAGGAGGAGGAGGAGGAGGAGGAGGAGGAGGAGGAGGAGGAGGAGGAGGAGGAGGAGGAGGAGGAGGAGGAGGAGGAGGAGGAGAGGGAGGACCCCCTCCCCCTCCTACCTCTGGTGGTGCTGGTGGGCCGTCAAAAAACGACTCAGGACGAGACACCGGTCCCTGGGAAGGGGTCCAGACCTCTGGGGGTCGACGTTGTGAAAGAATCAGGGCGTCGAGGGTCTGGGAGCGCAGATCCAAGATATCCGAGCGGACCTCCGGAAGATGACGTAGATGCCGACTCTGGGTTTCTGAATAAGCGAGGGGGGTACCCCCCGACGGGGGTCAACCTCGCCTCGTCGTCGCGCCGCGTCGTGGGTCGGAGCGCCTTCGGCGCGTGGTGGCTGCCCGCGACGGGGGTCGATGCGGGGCTGTCGGCGGGGGTGACGCCCCTCCGACGCTTATTAAGAAAGTCGGAGTGCGCGTTCTCCAAAGCACCACGGCCTTCTGAGAAGGCTTGCCCCATCCACTACCCCCCCTTGGCGCACAGCCGAAATTACGCATGCCCGCGTGAACCATGTCGTAGGACTCTGGGGACGGAATGTTGACGTCAACGGTTGCTTTCAGTGGGACGCGAAGAAGCCATGCCAAAATGCTGGCTTCCAACTCGTCTGATGCCAAAGCCCATCCCAAACCTCGTGGCATGAAGCAGAACTGCTCAACATCCAAATGTCGGCGACACGATCCGCGCTCGATTCTGGCAAAGAAGAAATGCAATTTTAGAAACGCATCCCGGCTCCTGCACCATCTGGCCCACTGTAAGACCACCGCCCAACATGCCACGGACATTCATGACATCGATGTTGGCAACATACACCTCGCAGTAATGAGGTCAGTAGGGGGTGTACATGGCATCATCTGCGATGCTTGCCATCTTGAAGCGAAAGCATTCGGATGAGATCAGCAATTGCCAAACGCTTCACCATGCAACACACTTGACACAATGAGCCAACCAACGACGATCTCACCTATAGCCTGCCACAAGCACACTGCGATTCGAAAGGTATCTGGGTATGGCAAGAACTGACACCCAAACCAGCGCGCGGTGTGCATCAACTGCATGCGGGATTGTGTTCGACAGATTCGCGCACGGCCGTGCATGTGGCTACTACATGTCTGCACTGCTCCGAACAATCTGTCCATGGAACCACTACATAGACTCCTGTGCTGACGTTGTACAGCCTGCGAACTGGAGAGTATCGGAAACATCAATCAATCACATGCGCAAGCTGACTCGAGCACCTTCCCACCGTGCTTTCTGGCACTCGGAATACCCTCGATGGGAGGAAAAGGTTCGACCCAACCAAATTTGCCTGCAGAGCAACAACGCAACATTAATAACACAAGACTGCAACACATGTTATCCCACTCCATCGCAATCCACAACACCAAACATTTACAACACCAATATGGCAAAACGAATCCGGCGGACCCGTGTGTGGGGATCACTGGGCTGCGTAACACAGGCATCAAGACCACCAGCGCACTGAGCAGTCTAGAAGAAAACAGCGCGACAATGTCATGGAGATGCGCGGTAAAGCCGCCATGACCTTGGACGCCAACATTGAAGCATGTTTAGCAGAAGTGGCCAATGATGGTGGCTGAGTACAAGCCGAAGATGCAAGGACGAGAAGGTGCCCTTGGGAAACTACTCATCCTCATGATCCCGTGTGGCTGTAGTTTGGTAGCTGCAAAATTGGGGGGTCACTTGGCGTGCAATTTCTACACATTAAGCATCCTCTCAGGTCGCGTGGACCCGGAAAAACAGGGTCTGGCATCGCTCACAGGTCACGCGCTCCCATGCTCACCCGTGCTCACAGGTCGCGTGTCCTCACCCCCCCGCATCCCCGACATGGTCCGAGCCCATCCCGAACGGCACCTTCTCAAATGGCGCGGGCTCCCTCGAACCACATCCTCGCAGCCTCTGGATGCTGTGGATCACGTGGGAATGCAATGGATCCGCCCGCGCATACACCCTGCGAAATGCTTAAGAAATCATGGGTTAAGAAATTCATAGTCTCAGAACTTGAATTAAAACCCTAAATTTCTATTACAATCTTAGGATTTACGTTGAAACATTAAGAAGAATCGAGACTCTGGCCGAAAATTTAAGTTTTCTTAAGCATCGCCTAAGGTGTACAAGGCAACGATCCCTCAGGAAACTGAGGGAAGCACGCCTGCAGAGGCCTCTGTGCGCAAGGCTATGACCTTTTTGGGGCACGTTGGGCATATTCAGGGCCTTGTGTTGGGGCGCCTCAGGGTACTCTGGGGGCTCTCGTGGGCCCTCTGGGGGATCTCTTGGCGTCCTCTTGGCTCGCATTGCGGAATTCTTCAGACCATCCTGGGCCTTCCTGGATCTTTCTGCAGCCTTCTTAGAGTCATGTTGAGCTGAAAGCGCTTCGACGCCCAACACATTTGGCAAATAAATAAGGTTGAACAGCTGTGGCTGCTTTTGACCTTTCTTGGTGCCTCCTGGGTCCTATCCGAAGGACCCTGAAAGGCCCCCAAAGGCCCATCGACACATCTTCGAGCGGCTTAGATGAATCCAAAAGATGCCCTGATACCCTGCTAGAAGGCCCAGGTGCCCTCTTTGGCCTTGCTGAACGGCTTTTGTATCCCAAGAAACAATTATTAGAAACCTGTTGAACCTCTGACTGATCGGAATTGGTCCCGCCGTACATGGTGAAGGTTCTCTGATTCGGCGTTTCGATAGTGGGCGGAAGGGGGGGGAGGGGGAGGGTCTGGCTCCGGACCTCTGCTTAGTGCGACTCTTTGCAACAGTGCCTCCTACGGGGGAGACTCCACCTGCTTGGAACAGGCGCCAACACCTGCCAAGACCTACTCCATGGGGGGGGAAGAGGTGCGAGGGCACGAGCCGATCGGCAAAACAATGAACAAGAAAACGATCACATGACCAAACAAGAGCGGGAACCGCCGCCTTTGAACGCCGGGCTCTTGAGGAATCGTCCGTTCCGTTGATGTGATACGTGCGGGTCCGTCGTGGTGAGCGTGCGCTTGCTTGCGCGCGTGTGCGTGGTGCATGAGCGTGCGCGCGTGTGTGGATGAACGCCCACCTACGCCCCATCGCCCCATCGCCAGCGCAAGGACTCTGCCCAGCCGCCGACTGGCAAAAGTGTGTTTGGACGCTGGGCGTGAGCGGGGCTGCGCAGGCGCGGGCGCCCCTCGCATGCCTTTCCCTCCCCCCTTCTCCTCCCGCGCCGCCTCCCTTCCCTTTGTTCGTCTGTCGTCCGTCGCTCGTCGGTCGTGTCGTGCCACTGGGCTCCGTCTGCGCTTGGAACAAAAGTGTGTTTGAACGATAACTGCCGCTCTTCCCTGTTCGCCCTCAGCCGCTTTCGCTGCCACCCACTCGGCTTGGCCTGCCTGTGGCGCGTCGTTCCCCCTTTTGGCCACGCGCTCTGGCCCTTTTGTCGTCGCGCCTGGCATGTCTGGCTCACGGCCGCTCGCATCGCTCCCTCTTCCCGAGGGCATCCCTCGCAGAATGCGACAGGGTCCCGCTCCCGAGGCCCGGATGCCTCCAAGACGGCCGAACATGGCTCGAAGACGGGCCACGTTGGCCTCAAGACGGCCCAAGATGACTTCGTGACGGCCCACGAGGCCGCCGAGGCGTCCCAAGAGAGCCCCAAGAGCCTTCCCAAGAGGGCCTCGAGCGGCAGCAAGCACTGATGTTCTTCAGGTCTTTCTATAGATTTCGGGTTCTTGCAGTTTCGAGCTTCCGACGTCCCAAGACAGCCCAAGAGGCCACCAGGACGGCCCCAAGAGGCATCCAAAAGTGCCCAGAGACGGTCCAAGAGGGCTCCAAGAGGCGCCACCGGATTTTCAAGAAGCCTCCAAGAAAGCTCCAAGACGGCCCCAGAGGGCGCCAGACTGCCTTAGAGGCGCCCACGACTGCCCAAGAGGGCCCCAAGACAGCCCAAAGTAGGCCCAAGAGTGGGAACACGAACCCAGAATCCGAGCGGTCTGCCCGAAGATGCCCCTAGCAGGCCCCCTTGCCTTCTCAAGCACCAGCCACCAAGAATGCTGCGCTGGCACGGTGGAGGAACCGCCAGAGGCAGCAGGGACACACACACACACTCACACACACTCACACACACTCACACACACTCACACACACTCACACACACTCACACACACTCACACACACACTCACACACACTCACACACACTCACACACACTCACACACACTCCAACACACTCACACACACACTCACACACACTCACACACACTCACACACACACACTCACACACACTCACACACACTCACACACACTCACACACACTCACACGCACGCACGCACGCACGCACGCACGCACGCACGCACGCACGCACGCACGCACGCACGCACGCACGCACGCACGCACGCACGCACGCACGCACGCACGCACGCACGCACGCACGCACGCACGCACGCACGCACGCACGCACGCACGCACGCACGCACGCACGCACGCACGCACGCACGCACGCACGCACGCACGCACGCACGCACGCACGCACGCACGCACGCACGCACACACGCACACACACACACACACACACACACACACACACACACACACACACACACACACACACACACACACACACACACACACACACACACACACACACACACACACACACACACACACACACACACACACACACACACACACACACACACACACACACACACACACACACACACACACACACAAACACACACACACACACACGCACACACACACACACGCACACACACACACACACACACGCACACACACGGGGGCTCGGGAGAGGTCACATGTTTACATACAGGCTCAAAGCGGCTCGCCGTGGCACAGCATAGCATAACATGTAATGGTATGACACAACATATGATAGCATGCCGTCGCCACAACACCATAGCTTTGCGCCCAGAAGCATGCCACAGCAGATTGCAGCAGAAGAGCACCGCGCCCACAAGCGTGCTGCAACAGAAGAGCACCGCGCCCACAAGCGTGCTCGGTTAGAACACAGCCCTCAATGTGGGCTCATATGGGCGATTTGAGGCGTGGTTGTGGACGCCAGACGGCTTCTTCCGGCGATCCTGGACGCTCTTGAGGTCCTCTAGGGATTCGTTCAACTCTCTTTAGCTCGTTCTGAAAACCTCACACATGTAAGGCGATGTTGGTTCAGAGTCCCCTCCGACATCCGTCTGTGGAAGATGTCAACGAAGCGATCATTCTGGAGGGCGCATGGGCTTCTCACGAAGATCCAGGCGTTTTGAATGGTAGAATGGTAGACTGTGGCTGCCTAAACTTTCTCGTAGACTGTTTGAGTCGTAGACTGGCTGAACCGTAGCCTGGTTGAACCGTAGCGAACGGTAGACTGGTTGAATCGTAGCCTGCTTTGAATGGTAGACTGTGGCTGCCTCGGCCGGGTGCTGCGCGTGGCGTGTGTGTGTGTAGGTATACATGCGCATGCGCTCACGCGCGCGGCAGCGTGCGTGCTGGGCGCGCGGGGTGGGGAGGGCGTGCGGAGCGCGGGTCGAGCGTGTACTGGGCGGGCGGGAGAGCGGGGCTGCGGTGCGCGTGACGGGTGCTGGGCGGACGGGCGGGCGGGGCAAGGCGTGCTGTCTGTGCGGCTGGTTTACGTACGTAGCGCGCTTGCGTGCGTGCTCGTGTGTGCGTGTGCGTTTGACGACGACGAGGACGAGGACGATGACGACGAGGAAGACGACGAGGCGTTCCGTGTTGCATGTTGTGCGCGTTGTGAATGTGTGTGTGGGTGTGTGCGTGGGTGTATTTTGTTGTGTGTATTGTGAGCTGCGTATCATATGTTGTGTGATGTGCCTAAAGTGATGTGTGTGCTGTGCTGTGTGCGTACGTCTTGAGGACAAGCTTGAGAACCCCCTGGGTCATCTAGAAGGCTTCAGAGGGCAACAGTGGTCGGGTCGCTCTTGCGAAATGCGCGCGCTGCGTGTGCTTGAACTGTCTTGAGGGCTGCCATGCAATTCCTCTTGAGCCCTTTTGAGGGTTCGTGGGGGCGCTCTTGAGCGTCCTTCTGTGCATATTGATGGCTTCTTGGAGCGCTGCTAGGGCCCTCTGGGGCGCCGTTTGAAGCTCTTATGGGCCGCCTGAGGCCCTCCAGGAGCGATTCCAAGCCAATGCTAGTTCAGAGTCGCATCCGAAATCAGGTGGTGTGTGTGGATGCCTCGCGCGAAAGCATTGCTTGCAAAATGTGAGAGCCCCCTACGACGCCATCATCTGGAGGATGCACACGCGAACCACCTCTTGTGATCCCGGGCCAAAAGATCATCGCGATGTTGTTGCGGTTAGGCGTCATCTAAGAAACTTCAAACACGCATTTGTTCCGACAACACACTCCCCGTCATCCGCCAACCCGTTCTCCCGTGCACCCAGGCACCGTTTTAAGCCCGCCGGATCCTACAGCACGCAACACTCCACATGGAAGGCAAATCGAACCACCATGCGGATGCCCCAACCCTCGATGTCAACCCGCTACGCTGGAACATCGAGTACGTTACATGCATGATTCAATGGCGAAGCTTATCCTACACACAGCACCCACCCACCACTGGGCCACCCGAGCGGCAGAAGCAGTGCCAATCTCCGTTGCCTGCACTGGGATACAGCAGTATGCTCGCCTACCTTGCTCCGAGCGCATCATCACCTTGAGCGCATCTTCCAAACTTCCCGCGCAAGTGCTCCCACGCAAGCGTTTCAAGGACGACACCTTGACTTGCGCACCTCTTGTAACAATAGGCATGACTCAGAACCTCTACGGCGCCACGGGGACAACTGCACTGCGATGTCTAGATATGGAATGCATCTTTCTCTCGGAGGGGGGGTATTCGGTGCAATCTCGTGGTGTGCGAATAAGAACACACGCCATTCGAACGGGGGGCACACCAGACAGCAACCATGTACAGAATTCGAGGGGGGGAGGGGGGGGGGATGCGAATGCCTCTTTGAAGTGTCTGACCCCAGTGAGATCTGGCACCCTGGCTGTGTATACCATGCGATGCAGGCTTTGTGATGCAGTCTGCGTGGGGCAATGTAAGAGGCGCGATCTATGTAGTGCATTGTGCATTCACCTACGATGGCCTTGACGCCGAGGCGTAAGATATCGAACACCATCGACCACATCCACAAACATCTACACACCATGTCGACAGCATGAGCCACCCGTGAGACCGTTTTTCCAAAGCCAAACTCCCTATCGATCTAAAACCAATCGCACCCGTACCGCAAACAAGAGAGATATCATCAAGCCTTGCCTTTCCAATCCACAACGGTACCATAATAAACCTTGGCGCGGAAAAGATCCGTGCGGTAAGGTTTGTCACACACGCACATCACAGGCAAATCATGGCGAACCGGTGTTGACATGACAGGCGTAATGTCGCACATGTCTCTCTGACACTCGCGCGTGCCACTTCAAGGCAGAACCTCACAGCCCGCTGCACAACACCTCTCCGATCCGCACGCTGCTGGCAAACTCATCCCTGCACAATAACCGCTGTCTTGGGATTGGTTCTCTCGTCCCGGTGCGCTCTGCTGCGCGTACTTTGTCGCCGCTGCGCATTATGGATCTCCGCTCATACCCACCCTGCGCCCTGCTCGTGCTCACCCACGGCTTCACCGGTACGTACCATCATCTGCCACCATACCACCTGGCACATAGTGGAGTGGCATCATGCCGAGGCTCTCGAACGAGAAACACTTAGACTTCTACGGGCCCCCCTTCCCCATCACACCCAACCGCTAGTGCCCCCTCCCTTGGCTCTTTCGCAACGCTCTCGTCGGCCCCACGACCAGAGAAGACGCCTCCCCAGGTGGCCAAGACGGCCCCAAGAGATATTCAAGAACGTCCGAAGGGCAGCACCAAGGCCCGCCCCAGACGGCCCAAGAAAACCAAACAGGGCCCAAACAAACCCAAACAAGGCCACAAGAGGCGTCTGAGAGGCTTGAAGAGGGCCTCTAAGCGACCCCAATGGATGCCTCCCACTGGGCTTCAACGGGGCGTTTACGAAGCCAAAAACATGGCAGCAGTGTTTCTGCCTGTGTTGTCTCTCATCGATCTTCGCCGCGCAGGCCACAATACGCCTCAAAAGACTCCTCAAAGGACCCCACGACAACGGACGGACCTCCCAAGACGACCCTCAGACGACTCCAAGATCAACAAATTGGCGGCGCGCACAAGGGGGTATGGGGCCGGGGGAAGGCTTCTTGAAGGAGGCTGCTTCTTGGAAGGCGCCTGCCTCACATCTACAAAGAAGGCCCGCGCCTTCTAAGAAGCAGGGGTGCTTCTAAGAAGCCTTCCCCCCTCCCCCTGCCCCCTTCTGCGCGTGGCCAGACAGAGACCAGCCCACGACGACACCAAGACCCCTTTCTAAAAACAGCACTGCAAGCTTGGAGGAACTTTCTATCCCAAGACGACACTCAGAAGACTCCAAGATGAACGAAGGCCAGCTCACAACGATACCAAGACCCCTTCTAAAAACAGCACTACAAGCTACCACTAAAAACAGTAAGACCCCTTGTAAAAAACATCACAACGATACCAAGACCCCTTCCAAAAACCGCACTGCAAGCTCGGAGGACCTTTCTCTCAACGCTGGTCCACGGGCGCAGGGTGGCTCGCAGCCGGTCACAGGCTGGCGAGGGCGCAGGGATGCGGATTTGCACCACGCAGCCTGCACCATATAGCTTCAACCAAGTACAGGGCAGTTTTTAATACATAGGAATTTAAACTACAGGATGCTTAACACATGATTAATTTATGAATAAATTCATGCATGAACTCATCTTTGTTTTTAGTGCTAAATCCCTGCATTTCTAATGCGTGATCCGCACGCGGAGCATGTATTAAAGACGGCACTGTAAGTTATCCTTTCAAATCGGCTCTGGAACCCCTCACTTCCCTGAAACCCTGCAAGTTACACGTGCTTTTGTCTGTCTGGTCGTCCTCCATCTGATCCCCTACCATCCCAAGCAGGCCTGGCACCGCCCCCGTCATCCCTGTCGAATGACAGTATGGTGAACATACTGTTCCTATACTTTTGGTGAGCATGGCACAACGTCTCCACGCGCGCACGTCAAAATCATACCAAACCTAAACCACCTGCAGCACATATTTCATCATATGAACTCAAACAACTCTTAAGCGTTCCATGGTAAATATTGTAGATATTCTGCCCGCGCGCATTTGATGAAATCATCGGGACGCCGTGTTATTTTAGCAATCTTGCCCACGAGCGAATCACTCCTCCAACCACGCGGTGCATCCGCGTTCATCCAGCATGCGACCAGCGCAAAATCCACATGAGCGGCGATCAAAAACGGGTCTTACGCGAGATGACGTAGCGACCTTACGCGGCGGCTTGCGCGGGCCGCCAGCGCGGCACGCTGCAATGAAGAGGGCGCTTACGCGCGACCTTACGCGAGCAACTTACGCGCCAATGTCGGAGAAGACGATCCCGTGTTTTTTTGCGTCGCCCACATGGGTTGCAACCGCGTTCTACTCTTTTCGCGGCCGCTGCCGCCAACCCGAGGGGGCTTGCCGTCGTGGCTCAAGGTCTCGTGTTCTTGCCTGGGTGTGGGCTCCTCACTGTTGCGGCCAGACTCGGCTGTGGCTGGCGCCTGGGTGCGCGTTGTGGGTACCCTTGGCAAGCCGTAAGGAAGTCTCAAGCGAAACCGCGCCCAAACCAGGCCCAACAAGCATATCGCAAGGACGTGGCGAACGAAACCGTACCGAAAGCAGGAAACACCAGGCACACTGCGAGGGACATCTCAAGCGAACGTATTACGAAATCATGCCGAGCCACTCAAATTGCGATGATGCTTCAAGCGAAATCTGCCCCACACCAAACCAAAACAGGACCCACGCCAACCAAACTCTAAGGACGTCTCAGGCGGCGCGGCCCGCCAAACCAAGCTAAATCAAGCCAGATCGCGGCAACTCTGGGGCCTAACCAAGCAAGTTCCGAGGATGCCCTTCCCCAAGCCTGGCTCCATCCACCGTCCGTTATACTACAAATATGCAAGGAATTGGTAGCCCAAGGGCATCCCACCGCAGTGGGTCCTTTGATTACAGCTCGGGGTGGGAGAGCCGATGATGGCCCCAAGAAGCCCAAGAACCCCCGCCGCCCACTCGCCCCCCCTGGCCCTCGCCTGGCCCTCGCCCTCCCTCGTGCAAGAGCCAGGGCCTGCGCGCGCTGCCGCCCGGGCGGCTCTTCAGAGGTCGACATGCGAGCGCTGCTCTGGCCCCCAGACATAAGTACAACTCGCAGACATAAGTACAACTCGCAGAGGAGCACTCTTTCGCTGCGACAGCTGCGCGGTGTGGGTGCTCCTTCGATTGAGCCTCAAAATGAACACTGTCGCTTACGGGACGACGAACCGGGCGAATTGCCCCGCCAGAGGACCGACGACCGCGTAGCTTTAGGTCGCGCATGTCCTCCTACAGGCGGATTTTGGAAGACACTATAACATACTTAGCCACAACAGAGTCAAAACTAGTCCGAAAAATACGAACAATCGTTCCCATACTATTTCTGACCATTCCTGAATCTTCTTCCTGTAGATGGACGTGCCCGGCTTAAGCGTCGCGCCCACATGCAGACGCCATGCTGCACCGACCTGGAATCTGGAACACACTTCAGTGCTCGAGCCCCTAACCCAGACAAGGGGTTCGTCAAGACGGGATCGGCACGGATCGGCGGCGAGCGAGGGGGGAAATTTCGAGGTTCGAACTTCGAAATTCGACGTTCGAGGCGTTTTTTCATAGCGTTCGTCCTCTGGGGGCCGTTTGCGGGCCTAGGATCCCCGAAACCCGATCCGGGATGCAAAACCGCGTCGGATGGACCCCGGGAGGGGTCTGGGGACCGATGTTGACCGATATTTGGCATCAAGCGAGGGGGAGTGAGAATAATACTATTTTTTTTGAAAAAAACATAAATTTGTACCGCGGAACCAGCGCCTATGAGGACACTCTGTCCTGCCAATGCGGCCGCACCACTCTCGCGGAACGGGTGCTGAGGACGCCCTGTCCTGCCAGCGTGGCCAAAACGGAAGGACCAGGAAGACGAGGAGGACGAGGAGGAGGAAGAGGAGAAGGAGGAGGAGAGAGCCGCAACAGGGACCAGCCTCAAAGCTAGGATAGGCCAGTACGCTCGAAATCGACCTGCTGTCTGCAGCAGCCGTAGGCTGGCACGGGCCTATCGATACGAATTCCCATATAAAACGTATCAGCCAGAACGGGCCAACTCCGCGTTCAAAACTCAATGGCGCCAGCGGTCCATCCAAAAGACCAACATCCAAGAAACGAAAACTGGTCCTACCCCAGCACTCGGCAATCCCCCGCGAGCGCAGCTCCGGCAGGAGCGAACCAAGCTGGCGATCACGATGCCGGAAGGAGAAGCGGCAGCGGCGGCAGAGAGAGAGGGAGGAAAGGAGACAAGAAGAAGCCTAAGGACTCCCCAAGAGGGGGGAGAGTGAGAAGGAGAAGGCCTCCTCAGAAGGCGGCGGGACTTCTCATAAGCCCTTTGTTCTTCTGGGGAATTCTCTGTGCCTTCGGGGAAGGCTTAGAAAACTTCTCAGAAGGCCGGGGGAATTCCGAGCCTTCTGAGAAGGCCCGCCCCCTCTCACTTCCCCCCGGCCTCGCCGCCGAGATGGGGATGGGGTGTGGATGGGGTGAGGGTGAGGTGATGGGGAGGACGGGGGGGGGATGTCGGGAGAGCGTGGGGCGAGGAGCGTGGGGGGTGGGCGGGAGGCGAGGGGCGAGGGGACGAGGATGCGGAGGAGGCGGACCGCCGACCGTGCTCTGCGTGGACGAGCTCCAGCTGGCGGTGCCGGCAGCCCGCCCCCCCCCGGGCTGGCCGCCGAGTGGACACCCGGCCAGCCCGCTTCTGGCCGCAGCCTCCGCGCCCTCGCAGAGGCAAGGCTCGGGCAGCCCGGCGCACTGCAGAGACGGCCCCCCGGCGGCCCCGCACCCGTGGAGGGATGCGATCGCAGGCAAGACCCGCCACGCAACGGCGGCGACATTCCGCGGCACGCGGCCCTCTGCCCGGAGCCTCCGTCCCCCGGACGCACTGCAGAGACGCAACGGTGGCGATATTCCGCGGCACGCGGCCCTCTGCCCGGAGCCTCCGCCCCCCGGACGCACTGCAGAGACGCAACGGTGGCGATCTTTCGCGGCACGCGGCCCTCTGCCCTGAGCCTCCGTCCCCCGGGCGCACTGCAGGAGACGGCCCCCGCAGCCCCGCGGCGTGGAGAGGTGCGACCGTAGACAAGACTCGCCACAACACGGTCGCGATCTTTCGCAGCACACGGCCCTCTTGATGGGCCTGTTTTCCACCACCACCACCATAAGTTGGAGGGGGAGGGGGTCCTCCTCCTCCTCCTCCTCCTCCTCCTCCTCCTCCTCCTCCTCCTCCTTCCCCCCTCCAACTTATGGTGGTGGTGGTGGAAAACAAGCCAATCACCTCTGCCCTGAGCCCCCTTCCCCTGTGACGCTGGGCAAGGGCACCTCGTTGTTCGGCCGTGTCCTGCAGGGAATCGCAAGGGGACAGACTGTGCTCATGTATGGCCCTGCGGGGAGCCATGGCTCATGAGAAGGCTTCCCAGAATCCATTCACGGGACGGCTTTCGCTACTGCCTGAAGATGTTCGACATCAATTGTGGGCAAACTCACGCCACGAAACCAACGACCTGCAAGAACTGGATCACATAAACAATAACAACTCAAATGCGACAACAATAGGATTAACTATAACAACTTACACCAATATTGATCCAATATTACTCAAGAACGACATTGCCATTCATTATTTGCACTGTTGGTTCCGTGAATCTGAGCAGATTCCATCATTGAGCGCAGCAAGTCGCTCGTGAGTAATTACTTCAGTATCGAATGAGCTGGGTGTGCCGCATGCGCGTACATGCCATCGAAAAAGATGGAGCAACGCAATTGTTCGCGCGACGAAGCAATCGACTCCGAGGAGCCACATGACAATGTCAAGCATCCTGGCAAAAAAAACGACTTGCTTCCGCCGTCTTGCCCAACGTTTCGGCAGTGGAGCCCGCATGTGAAGGGGGATGGGCAAAGACAGGCGGAACGACCGTATCGTGGAAAGGAAGACTAGGAGGCTGGGGAAGCGACAGTGCGAGAGCAGGGGAACCCAGAAGTGGAGGCAGAAGTACAGTGTGACAGGCTGGGTGCTGTCAGAAGATGCCTGGCCCAAGGTCTGGCCCGAGATGTCCCCAAGAATCCCCAGATGTTCCAAGGCCCCCACGACCTCCAGAGCATCTCTCACGAGGCCCAGCAGGCCCCTGGGGCTTCAAACTGGTTCGAAAAGCTGGGGGCACCTAGCAGAATCCGAACAGGAGGAGGAACACGGAGGGCACGGGGGCGGAGGAAACATGCTGCGTTGCCTCTGCTGGCCTCAACTCTCCCAACTGGGCGCAGCAAAGCAATGCAGGCCGCCGTGCTTTTCAGCGAAGCAATGCACTGATCGGCGAAGCGCAGGTCAACTGTGATCGGCGAGGCAGGGTAAGCATCTGTGCTTTTCCAACCAAGATGCGCCAGCCGCTCAGCTACACCGTCCCTGGGCACAAACTCCAAGAAACGGGTCAGAGTGCAAGGCCCGGGCTGGGAGAGCATTGAGGATGCTTTCCGAGCTGTGCAGGGAGGGGTCTCCTCCTCCTCTTCCTCCTCCTCCTCCTCCTCCTCCTCCTCCTATTCCATCTCCGCCTTCTTCGCCGTCTCCACCCCCCAGTTCCAAAAGTATTCTCCCCCTCCTCCTCCGAATCCTCATCCTCCCTCCTCCCTGTCAACCTGCAACTGCAACATGCGCTCTCAGGATGTAACCGCCTTTCTGCGCCCCCGTTGAACTTCGGACGAACCCCATCCCCATACCAGTTCGCATTTGTCCTCCTGGCCGATTTCCCCAATCTGCTTCAGTCTTTTCCCGTAACTTCTGAAGCGACCGAACTTCCACAAGGGTAAATCACAAAGTGGGTGCAAGGAGCGTTCTCTCTTACGATTGTTCTGAACCAAATGGATTACCTCTCCCAGCAGACGGTAAAACGGCAAATGCATCTGCTGCAGAACTGGGTCATTATATGCGTTTTCATGTTCGCATCCTTCCAGGTCGCTGGCTCTCAACCTCACCTTCACTTGGGAAGCTCCAAGCTGGGCCGATTTGCGGACCAAAGGCTTGAATTATGTCTTGAAGCCGACATCTGACAAACTGCTAGCCAGAACTCTGAGGCGTCGCTAGGGGTCCGGGCTCGAGCAGGGGGGGGATCAGCGCAACAAGTGACGACGGGGCCGAGGGGGAGGGATAATCAGGAGGCGCAGGACGACGGAAACGACGATCGAAGAGCAGGGAACGGAATAGACAAAACAACATAACATGTTCGGAGGTTCGCTCAGACTTCTTGGGTCGGTGCTGGGCCCACCTCCCTGGGGCGCGGAGCGCGCCAGGGCGGAATTGGAGGCGCCGCCCGAGCGGCCAGCGCCGTTGCGAGAACTCCGTGCGGAGGTCCGACAGCTCATGTTTATGCAGATTGTTCGGATGCGTGGCGCGACGGCCAGGACTGCCGATCCACCCGTCGCCCAGCTCAGCGCGGGGCACAGTGCAGAAACCTGGAGCGATACGAAACATCCCATGAAATGTACCAGCTCCAAGGAGGCGAGGAAGGAGGAGAGGGAGGAGGAGGAGGAGGAGGAGGAGGAGGAGGAGGAGGAAGGAGGAGGAGGAGGAGTGACAGCATCCACAGTAGAGGAGGAGGAGGAGGAGGAGGAGGAGGAGGAGGAGGAGGAGGAGGAGGAGGAGGACGAGGAGGAGGAAGGTGGAGAAGGGAGGGACAGTAGGAATTGGGACGATGGGGCGATGGGGCCGACGAGGAGGAGCGGGAGCGAGGGGGGCGCGCGTGGCCAACTGGCCATCGCTCGGACGTCCATTCCCTGTGTTTTTTTAGGTTTCTTGCGCGGCTTTGTCGCCAAATGATCAAGGATGCTCCTCGATGGTCCTAGCCGAAGGAAAAAGGCACACGTCCGAGCGATGCCAAGCCCCCCGGGACGTCGCCCCCTGGAGGCCGGGAGGCCGCCGCCCACGGTTCGCCACGCCCCGCGCCTGCTGTTCGCGGCTGCTGGCTTCGAGGCTTGTTCGTTATGCTAATGCTTCCTTTGTCGGAGCTTTTGTTTCGGGGTCGTTTGGTTTGTTTTCGTTATTTGTTTGTTGTGATGTTGCTTCTCTTGTCGGAGCGTGTTGTTCGGGGTCGTTTGGTTTGTGTTCGCTCTTGTTTGCTCGCTGTTTCGTTTCCTGCTGGTCCTGGGTTGCTTCTGGGTTGTTGTTCTCATATGTTCCCGGGTTGTTGTTGTGTGCTTTGGTATGGGTTGTGTCTGTTTCGTGTATTAGTCGTTTGTTGTGTTTGTTTTCTCTCTGGGTTGCTTCCAAATGATCAAGGATGCTCCCCGATGGTCCTCGCCGAAGGAAAAATGCACACGTCCGAGCGATGCCAAGCCAAGGGGGCGAGGGCCGCAAGAGGGGGGGGGAGGGCGTCGAGGGCGCACGTGAGGCGGCCCGGCGGCGACGTCCTGGCGAGGTGGGGGCCGCTGGGGCCGAAGTCCTGGCGCCGCAGGCCGCGCCGCTGCCCCGCCCAACAGGACCGCTGGGGGGGGGGGGGGGCGAGGCAGCCACCGAGGAGATCGCGACCCTCGACCCTCGATGCCGCCTCGATCCTCGATGCCTCCTCGATGCCTCCTCGAATTCTCCTCGATCCTCGACCCTCGATCCCTCCTCGATCCTCGACCCTCGATCCCTCCTCGTCTTTGTCCTCGGTCATCGACCTCGCCTCCCCCTCGTCGATCCGCGGCCCCTCCTCGGCCCTCCAGGAACGACGAGGCCACGACCAGGACAAGCCCGGAACGGGGTAAACATCGGGCTCGCCATCGCTCGGACGTCCATTCCTGTGTTTTTTTTTCGGTTTCGTGCGTGGTTTTGTTGGCCAAATGATCAAGGATGCTCCTCGATGGCCCTCGCCGACGGAAACATGCACACGTCCGAGCGATGCCAAGCGACCAGGACAAGCCCGGAGCGGGGTAAGCATCGGGGAGGTCTCTAACACGGGGTGCCGCGGCCGGCCGTTCCAGAACGCTCCGAGAGCGTTCCAGGACGCCCTGATGCGATCTCAGTGTTTTGTGTTTTTTTTCGAATTGTCTCTGTCTCTGCCTCGCCCACAGTCACTCAGACTCACATTCTCTCGTACTAGGCCCACTCCCACTCAGACCCGCTCGCACTCATACTCACACGCTCAAGACCTGCGTGCACCCATATTCACTCACTCAGCCTCACCCACACTCGTGCTTACGGCCAGACTCGCTCATACGCAGCCTCACTGATACTCAGACACAGTCACAATAACATTCACTCATACGCAAATTTACTCATACTCAGAGCATTCCCTGTCCGATCTCCCCGTACTCAACTTAGACATATTCAAACTGACATGCATGCCGCACACAATCATACTCAGACTCGCACTCTACTGTGCGGACCCATTCACGCACAGACAACTCACATTCAGCTCCACTCATACTGCTTCGTACTCAGAATCGCTCATGTTTGGAAGTTGTTTGTTGTCTCTCTTTCTCTCTCTTCTCTCTCACACAAACAGGCACACACAGCGTCAATCACACTCGTGATCCTCGCGATACAGCAAGCAGCGCATTTGGACCACCCAAGGGAAAGCCGACAGGGGGGTAGTGTGCACGGGCCCGCCCGCGTTGAGATTGCGGGGATGTCCCTTTGATCGCCACGAATAAACAAACATTGAATTTCAAACTCCTGCTGGGCCGGAGGAGGAATGAGGGGGCAACGGTAGGGGGGGATGATAGGCCTAGGGGGGATGCATCGACCCCCGATCGCCCATTGATCGCCGATAAGGGCCCGATAGCCCCAACCCGCCCGGGAACGTGCGGATTCACTATCGGGGGCCTATTGCCGATCAATCGGCGATGTATCGCCGATTCTGGGTCGATGCTTCGGAGGAGGAGGAGGAGGGCGGAGGAGGAGGGGGAGGAAGAGGAGGACGAGGAGGAGGAGGAGGAGGAGGGCGGAGGAGGAGGAGGAGGAGGAGGAGGAGGAGGAGGAGGAGGAGCCCCTCTATGCCTATCCCCCCCCCCTATCGTCGCAGGAGCAGGGCCCGCGAGGGCGGCGGGGCGGGTGACGGGTCCCTTCTGTGGCCCTGCTCGCCAGCGACCTGCGGGCGCCGACGCGCGCGGCGCGGTGCGGCCTCGCCTCGCCCCGGCCATGCCGCGCAGCGAGCGCCCCCCGAGCAAGCACGACCTCCCTGGTGTGTTCGGGGATGGACAGACCCCCCTTCAGTAAAACGTGGTTTGGTGAGAACGACCTGGAAAATAGCGACCACTGTGCCCTCTCGAGAACCGAAAGCGGACAATTCACTAATCGACGTGTCACTGTTGGGGGTTCTGTCCAACCCCGACCCAGGGGCGCCGCTTTAGCAAAACGTGGTTTGGTGGAAACGACCTGAGGCCCAAACCTGGCGGGCGCGAGCCTGGAAAATGACGGCCACGGCGCCCTCTCGAGAACCGACAACGGACAATTCACTAATCGACGAGTCACTGTTGGGGGTTCTGTCCACCCCCGCTGTGTGGCATCCTCGGACATGCCACGGCGCCGACCCTGCGGGCGTGCTCCAGCGGATTTTTGCTCGGATTTCCGTCGATGCCAAACCCCCGAAGCGGCGAGCGAAAAATGGAGTGAGCTTCGCGTGGATTTGTTTTAGTCTTCATTCCTGGCCAAAGAAATCCACGCGAAATTCATTTCGAAATCGGAAACGAAATTATCCAGGCCACTCCGGGCTCATCAGATTGTTCTCCGAACGAAATCCGCTCTGCGATGTTGGTGCCACAAGACATGCTCGCGCCGTGGAAAAATCACGACGAACAGTTGCGGGCAAAAAGAACTGCTCGGGATGCAAACCTGGCCCCGGGGACAGGGGTGAGGGCGTCCGGGGGCCCCGAACTCCAAACCTGGACCTCGCCTGTCTGGGGCAGGAGCCCTCTCTCTATAATCCTTCGCGACAATGCACCGGCAGGGGCCGAGGGGCGCACAAACAACGCAGGCAAGACAGCCTGCCGCAGTGCGCCGAGCTGTTGTCTTGGACGGCAGTGTGGACGGGGGGCGGCCCGCCGCAGGCGCCGACTGGGCGCAGACGTCGATGGTGGGCCGCGGCGCGGGCGGGTCGCGGGGCTCGCCATCGATCGGGCGTCCGCTCCCCGTGCGCTTGTCGGCTTCGCGCGCGTATGTTTCGCAAGACGGTCCAGGGTGCTCCTCGATGGCCCTCGCCGAGGCAAGAATGCGCACGTCCGAGCGATGCCAAGGGGTGGGTGGCGGGGCGGGTTGCAGGGCGGCGATGAGGAAACTCGGGGTCGGCCAGGAGGGGGGCGTCGGAGAGGCGGGGCGCAAATCATGGCCAGTGGCATGTGCGCGGCCCCGGGGGTGGGGCCAGGGTCGCAATGAAATCAGGAGAGGCGCCATGGAATCTGAGGAAGTATCATGGCCCACGCCATGATCTCCACTCCCCCCTAGACATCACCCCCCTGATGGCCGCCCCCGAGAAACAACGGCAACCCGCACCGGGGAACCCCACTTCGACCACGCACCCCAGGGACAGCGTCATACCGCTCGGGCCCCCTGACTCTGTGTACAGTAGGGGCTCGACCACAAGAAACCCTCCACAAGCAACCCGACCCTGAGACCCCAAGACGTCCGTTGATTTGTTGTGGGAACGTCAAGCCTTCCGCAGCAGAACCATCGAAACCCAAGAAACCCAGGGCACCCTGGGGCACCCTGGAGGCAAGCAGGGTGTTGCTTGGCTTGGGCCCCCACTGTACCGCTCGGCCCCCCCGACTCCGTGTGCGTGAAGGCATCGTGGGTGGCCTGGCCGGTGCAGCCGATCCACCAAGTGAGAAAAACAGCCTGCCAGTAGGTGGCCCCACAAAAATGCCTTGTCACCCCTCCTCCTCCTCCTCCTGTTCCTCCTCCCCCTTTTCCTCCTCCTCCTCCTCCTCCGCCCTCCTCCTCCGCCGCTCTCCTCCTCCTCCTCCTCCTCCTCCTCCTCCTCCTGCCCTGACTCTGTGTACGTGAAGGCATCGTGGGTTGCCTGGGCGGTGCAGCAATTCCACCAAGTGAGAAACTTTTGGCCCCGCAATAAGGTCTTGTCCCCCAGTGGCCCTGGGGGCCCGCAGATGCCCTGGGACACCTCAGGAAGGTCCGAAATCGACGAGCAGTGTGCATCAAGATCCCTTACAGCAAGACTTCTTGATCGTCTGTGGCTACTGTATTGTTGGCACTCTGGTTGATTTGGGCTGTATTGTAACGGTGGCGTTGTTCGGCGGCGAGCGAGGGGGGGAAGTGAGAAGGAGAGGGCCTTCTCAGAAGGCGGCGGGGCTTCTCAGAAGCCCTCGCGCCTTCTGAAAGGTCTTCTGCGTCTTCGGGGAGGGCTTAGAAAACCTCTCAAAGGCCGGGGGACTTACGAGCCTTCCGAGAAGGCCCGTCCCCTCTCACTTCCTCCTGGGCTCGCCGCCGAGATGGGGATGGGGTGTGGATGGGGAGAGGGTGAGGTGATGGGGAGGACGGGGGGGTGGGTCGGGAGAGCGGGGGCGAGGAGCGTGGGGGGTGGGCGGGAGGCAAGGGGCGAGGGGACGAGGATGCGGAGGAGGCGGACCGCCGATCGTGCTCTACGCGGACCCCCCGGGCTCGCCGCCGAGCTGCGGCATCTGCGGCTGGTGGTGCGCAACGGCCCGGGGTGCGGTCCAGCTTCCGGCTCTTCCGTGCCGACCGGCCGGTCTCCGCGCCCCCCCGCACCACGAGCCCCCGAGCCTGTCTCTCCGCACTCCGTCGCCCGTGGCGTGAAAACCGTTCACTTCAAAGGGCCATGTGCGGGGCGAGAAATCCACGATCTACTGAAATCTCGCAGAATTTCACGAATTCTCGCCCGTGGAAAATTCTGACGGTCTCGTAGAATTCACTGAATTTGGAATTCAACGATTTTTCGCCCGTGGCGTAGACCGTTCGCTTCAAAGGGTAATTGCAGCACCTTCTTGGGAATCGATGTCCTGGGACCTCAGCGGACGGTGGATGTGGATATGTATTTCGGCCCCAGAGACCCCGCGTGTACTCCTATCTGACGCCTGCCGAGGTCCCCGAAACTCGATGTCCCAGGTTGTAGGCGTTGTTTGTGGATCAATCCCCGCCACGGACAACTCATTCGTGGAGTTATTTCCACTCTTTCGGGCCAATCGCTGCATGCGTGACAGGTCTCTTCATGCAACTACACCTCCCTGTTGACCGCGTCGGTTTTGAAGGACGGTTGCTGCACTCTGTGGTGACGAGGGCCAGGTGAGCGCTTCTCGCGTGCTCACTCGGGTGGCAGGCAGGCGACTGACTGGACCAGGCTCCGACTTGTTTCGCCTCTGAAGCGAAAATCATGCTGCACGCGGAGCCAGCCGAGCACGTGAAAAACGAGCGGAAGGGGAACCCTTCATGAGGACAGCACAACCCACCCCCACCCCCACCCAGGGCACCCACCTCCGACCTGGTGGTCCAGGGTGCCCTGGGTGGGGGTGGGGGTGGGTTGTAAGAGCCGCGGGGCCCAAAAACACACCCCCACCCCCACCCAGGGCACCCTGGACCACCAGGTCGGAGGTGGGTGCCCTAGGTGGGGGTGGTGGTAGGTTGTGCTGTCCTCACTTCACCCACTCGGCGACGGCGGTGGCCGACTGTGGTGACCGGGGCACCCCCAGAGCACCACGTGACGGAAGACTGGCGGTCATGACGCGCACGCCCACAAGGCCAGAATCTGCCTGCCCGTGCGACGACCCCGTGGCGTGGCTCCGCTGGGTTATTAATCGCTGAAACAAGCATGCATCTGATAGTATAATCCGCCGGCCCCCTTGCGGGGCCACCAGGCTGCGAGGGTGAGGATAGCAGCTCCCTACTTCAGTTGTAGCTTCCAGTTTCCACTGTTACAATCCTGCTTTCTGCTTCCTTACTGTTAATTATTGCTGTCCGCGCGAGGGGTGGGAGCCCCAAACAATTTGTTTCACCACGCCCTGGGAGGGTTCTCAGAATTCGTGGGGGGGCGTGGGACACATAAAAATACACGATACTCGCCCCCAAAGCTTCATCCCTAGTAAGTTACACCATGCTCGCGTCCCCCGAATCCATAAACCTTCGTGAATTACACAATCTTCGCTTCCCCGAAGCCATATTCCTTTGTGAATTACCAGACATGTGCGTCCCCGAGGCCACACACAAACCCTTGAACAATACACCATATTCGCGTCCTCGAAGAAGCCATAAGCCCTCGTAAATTACGCAATGCTGGCGCCCCCCAAGCCATAACTTTTTTTCATGAAAAAACATTATACACTATTCGCGTCCCCAAGGCCACAAACCCTCGTAAATTACACAATGCTTGCGTCAGCGAGGCCACATACCTTCCCAAATTATATAATACTCGCGTCCCCCAGGCCATACATCCTCGTGACTTACAACATATTTGCGCCCCCGAGGCCATACACCTTCGCAGATTAAGCAATTGCTGCGTCCCCGAGACCGCACACCCTCGTAAATTATACCATGTTCGCGTCCCCGAAGCCATAAGCCATCGCAACTTACCGAATACTCGCGCCACCGAAGCCATCAACCCTAGTACATTAACACTGGCCCTCGCGCGAAGTCCCAACATTGCTTCAGGTCAGCGTCCATACATCCCAACACAGCTCTGACAAGTCCCATTCTAAGAGAGGGGGGCCGGCAGCATGGGGGCGAAGCCCTTTCGGATCAATAAGGTTATATGCTGGATTGTGGACTGGATTCGTATTCGCATTGTACAAGTCAGGAGGTAGGAGGGCAAAGTTCATAAAACGATGGTCTTTATGAGCTTTCCGAGCGAGGTCAAGAAGAGGGGGGGAAGGGGGGGGGGAGAGGGCGGGCAGAGGCGGGACAGGAACAGGAGCTAGGCGACGTGGGCGTGGGTGGGGAGGCCTTCGTGTCGGAAGGAGGCAACTACTGGGAGGCAACTGCTGGGAGGTCTCCGTCGGAAGGATCAAAAAGAATTGAACCCCTTTCGGGGGCTACTACGCCGGATTCGGCCGCGGATCACGCGGGATTCTGCGAGGTGAAGCGGGATTGCGCCGGAGATCGGACCAGGGCAGAGTCAGAAGTGGACTCACCAGGAGCTGCATCCGAAGCGAGGGGGGGGGGCCTGGAGCTGGGAAACGTGGGCGAGGGTAGGCGCAGGGCTCGACCTAACCAGTGTCTTTCGTTTTTCGTTTTGATTTCGCGATCCCTCGTTTTGTCTACGATCCGCCTTCACCGCAAGACGAAGTCGAAACGAAAACGGCCCACGAAATCGCCAAAACACCGCTTGGGTCCACCCCTGGGTGGGAGGGCGCGAAATTGTTTCGCTGGCGCTGGTTTCGCCGGCGCTGGTTTCGTCGACGGCTGTTTCGCCGGCGGCTGGTTTCGCCGGCGCTGGTATCGCCGGTGCTGGTTTCGCCGGCGCCGGTTTTCGTCGTACACTCTTCGACGCCCATTTCGAAGCTGTTCGAGCAGGGCGAGGCCAACGAGAGTGGTCAAGGATAGACCGAAGAGGCAAAGATGCGAGGGTACCCTTGGAAAGAACGCCCATCCTTACTCTGCGGGTTGGCTGTATGCTTAATGAAAAAAACATGCTCGTCAATGCAGACTCGCCAAGGCAAGGCTGACTGTCCAAGACTGTGTCGGTCGGGCTACTTGCAGCACGCCCTGTCCTCACAACGCATCGCCGCATTTCAGAGTTCAACGGTGAAGGCGCTCAGGCTATTCAGAACAAGTGCCCCCGCACCGAAATCTGCAAGACCCCCAAGCCCACGTTGGGCGACAACTGCTCACTGCTAGCAAATTAACCAATGGCGCATCATCGAAACGGGCACAACAGGCGCATATCATCGGCCGCTGTCGTCTGCGCGACCCTGGACGGCACCGACTGCCTGATCGGCGGCAGCGTGCCAGGAAATGAGAGATCCAAAGGCAATGCATGAAACTTTCGCTTCCTACCCTCTTCCGGCAAATCACTGATATGTGCAAACCTCTGTCCACGAAGTGCCCCAACCGGGAGGGGCCATGAGCCTCTACACTCCTCATGCCAAGGCGGCTGACACTCCCCCGCTGGTAGCCGCCAGCCCGAACTCGCAAGGCAACCGACGTTGCCTTGCGTGCACGCCTGGGCGCTCACTTTCCTGCATAGTGACCGTGAACGAGAGGCCCCAAGTTCAAACCGCGAGCCTGGACGCAGAGGAGACCGACAACATTATGCCGCGTACACCGGCCCTCGCCTCAGCACGGTGACGCCTCTAGCATGTGTAGTGCAAGTGTGTCTGCGTGTGCATCCTCACATGTGCAGACGCGTGCACACACGGGGCCGACCGCTCCTCCTTTACGACCTTGGGACTTGAGCTCACTTTTGCCTGCCCGCCTGCTTGGCTTCGGAAGGGTCCACAGGGCCCGCCAAGACCACTCATCAAGCTCGGCCCCTCCAAACGCTCGAGCGGGAACCTCCGACGGGCCCCTGGAGAGCCCCAAGAGAGTCTCAAGACAGGCCACGCAGGCGCCTGGGCGGGCCCAACGCGTTACCAGAGGGCCCCACGACGGCCTCGTGAGCTGCAAGTAGGCCCAAGATGGCGCAACGTGGACCTGCCACAAGCAGAGACCTCACAAAGACAGTCGAACTGCCCCAACTGGGCCCCCCAAACATAGCCACCGAACGGCCCCAATACGCCCCAAGACAGGTGGATGAGTACGGCGACGGTCAGGGAATCAATAAGCCGATGTGCAGATATCTGATCTATTTAATATAACCCTCTCTCTCTCTCCCTCTCCCTCGCTCTCCCTCACGCTCGCGCTTGTAAATTCACATGAAAGTGAATACATGATGTTAGTCTGACTCTGGGCCATCATGAACCGAAACTTGCGCCCAGCCCCACGATCTTATCCACCAACATTTGCATTCTTAGCCTTTGCGGACAGACGCGCGTCAATGAGTACAGAAAAGGGACAGGAAAATAATACATTGATTGGGAAAGCGGCATCCCGACGGCCTTCCAACCAGAACCTCCAGGCGCATAGCACCGAAATGGGCACGGCACAGAGTGCTGCAGTTGGAGTCGGCTCTTCGACTGCCAGAAGGAAGCCACACTCCCCCCTCATGGGGACCTGTGGTAAAAAAAACTCGCAACAGTAAATTAAACTCAACGACTTTGCAAATCGAAGAAAATTACTGAAACCAATGCGCGAATCCAAACTCAACATGTACACATAATACATAATCCAAGGTGGCCCGCATCTGAGTCTGACCATCCGGGTTGGCTACAATGGACGGGGGGGACAAGAGCACACACTGCACCTCCTCCTCTCAAGAGAAACCTGCAGAGACAAAATGTGACTTTGATCTGCCAATTCCCTCTACTGCGCAAACGTAGGCAACTTGCGCGCACGAGTGTCGAAACAATCCTGTGCCCCCATATGAAATGTTCCACTGCCACCGCGATCGTCGTCTTGCGTGCCCAGACTGAAAGTTGGGCAAGCCGACGGGCACCATCATCTCCCCCGGCCGGCACGTTCAGAAGCGGAAGGGGAGACACGCGCTGAAAAAATGATCGTGCGTGCTGTGCAGCTTCGGCGCTCAGAGGTGCGGCGACAGACATGTACCCTTTCTCGAGCAATGCTGTCAACACCAATGACGGCCACAACCACGCAATTACGCGTCGATTGCGAGAGCTTTTTCCGGCCAGTCAGGGTAGTCTCACCTTCGCCCAGTTTCAAGCGAAAGTAACTGGAACGGATGTGCGTGCGCAGAGGCATAGTCTGTGTAGCCATCTTGCGCGATACAACGTATCTGCCTCATCACATGACAATAATATCATTCTAGCGACGGTCATGTGGCTCCCACCTGAAGGGACTTCCCTTCGCCTGACGGTCACTGACCAGCTCACCATCACTTAATTTGGCCACCACGTTTGCTTCAAACGTGCGCAGACAAACCTGAAGATGAGCATCTGCGCATATGCCACGCGTCCCACTAGTGGCACACACAATAGAAGCTCCACCCGAACAGCTCACCGCTTGGGCCCCACCGCCAGCTCAAACGGCGAGCATAAATCGGGCGTAGCCCCTCACGCATTCGAATGCGTACACTTCGTCCTAGTACTACTGGTTTTCCTTCCTCCCCGTCCTCCTCCCCATCCTGATCCTCGTCGTCGTCCTCCTCGTCCTCCTCCTCATCCTCATCTTCCTCCTGCTCCCACGCCTTCTCATCGTCCTGTTCTACGACCTCGTCCTCGTTTCTCCTCTTCCTCCTCCTGCTCATCCTCCTTCTCCTGGCACCCAGGTTGCGCCATAGGTTGCGCCATAGGTTGCGCCCTCGGCGGCCGAGAATAAAACCGTCTCCTATCAATTGCGCCATAGGTTGCACCCTCGGCGACAAAAAATAACACCATCTTCTATGGGTTGCGCCATAGGCTGCGCCTTCGGCGGTCGAGACTGAAACCGTCTCCTATCGGTTGCGCCACAGGTTGCGCCCTCGGCCGCCGGGAGTAAAACCGACTCCTAGTTGGTTGCGCCATAGGTTGCGCCCACGGCCGCCAAAAACAACATCGTCTCCGATTGGTTGCGCCATAGGTTGCGCCGTCGGCGGCCGAGAATCAAACCGTCTCCTATGTATCGTTTGCGCCATAGATTGCGCCATCGGCGGTCGAGAATCAAACCGTCTCCTAGCGGTTGCGCCATAGATTGCGCCCTCGGCGGCCGAGAACAAAACAGTCTCCTATCGGGTGCGCCATGGGTTGCACCCTCGGCCGCCGAGAATAAAACCGTCTCCTAATGGTTGCGCCATAGGTTGCACCCTCGGCTGCCGAGAATAAAACCCTCTCCTATCGGTTGCGCCATGGGTTGCGCCCTCGGCGGCCGAGAATAAACACGTCTCCTATTAGTTGCGCCATAGGTTACGCCCTCGGCGGCCGATAATAAAACCATCTCTTATCGCAAGCGCCATAGGTTGCGCCCTCGGCCGCAGAGAATACAACGGACTCCTACTGGTTGCGCCATAGGTTGCGCCCTCGGCGGCCGAGAATCAAACCGTCTCCCATTGGTTGCGCCATGAGTTGCGCCATCGGCGGCTGAGACTAAAACCCTCTCCTATTGGCTGTGACATAGGTTGCGCCCTCGGCGGCCGAGACTAAAACAATACCCTATCGGTTGCGCCATAGGTTGCGCCTCGGCGGCCGAGAATCAAAGCGTCTCCTATCGGTTGCGCCATAGGTTGTGCCGTCGGCGGCCGAGAGTAAAACCGTCTCCTAGTAGTTGCGCCAAAAATTGCACCCTCGGCGGCCGAGAATACAACCGTCTGCTCTTGGACGCGCCATAGGTTGCGCCCTCGGCCGTTGAGAATAAAACCGTCTCTTATCGGTTGCGCCGTAAATTGCGCCCTCCGCGGCCGAGAATAAGACCGTCTCCTATTGGTTCAGAGGTTGCGCCCTTGGCCGCCAATAATCAACCAATCTCCTATTGATTGGGCCGTAGGTTGCGCCCTCGGCCGCCAAGAATAAAACTGTCTCCTGTTGGTTACCCTATGGGTTGCGCCCTCGGCCGCTGACAATAAAACCGACTGCTATTGGTTGCGCCATAGGTTGCGCAATCGGCGGCCAAGAATTAAACCGTCGCCTATCGCTTGCGCCATTGGTTGCACCGTCGGCAACCGAGAATAAAACCCTCTGCTATTGGTTGCGCCATAGGTTGCACCCTCGGCGGCGGAGAATAAAACCGTCTCCCATCGGTTGCGCCATATACTGCGCCCTCGGCGGCCGAGAATAAAACCGTCTACGATTGGTTGCGCCATTGGTTGCGCCCTCGGCGGCCGAGGATTTTCCCCTGCAGCCTAAGAGCGCGCAGCGCGCCCGTCCAGCTCCTGGCACTGGGCCAGGCCCAGCCCGCTCACGGCCTCGAACGCGAAGCCGACGAGGAGCAGGGAGGGCCGCGGGGCCATCGCCTCAGGCGTGGCCGCCGCCGCCCTGGGGAGGGGCAGCACGCTGCCGCTCCGCGCCGCTCCGCAGGCCTGCGATAGGCCCAACGCCGCCGCCCGAGAGGCGCGCCGCGAGGGGCTCCACCTGGGCGAGCGCGCTGCGGAGCTCCGTGGGGTCGCTCGGGAGAGCTCGTCCCGAGCGGTGGGCCGCCCGAGCTCCTCAAGGGCGGCGCCGAGCTGGAAGCGGAGGTAGTCCACCGCCCTGGCGTCGTCGCAGCCTGAGGAGCCGCCCGCGGCCCCAGCAGCCGCCTGCGCAGCCTCCGCGGCAGGCGGGCCCGAACCCGCGCCCGCCGCTCCAGCCGCCGCCACCGGTCGCCGCTGCCGCCGCCGCCGCCGCCCGCGCGGCGGCTCCGCGCCCTGGAGGCGGAGGTCGGCGAACTCGTCGTTGAAGTGGCCCCCGAAGGCATCGGGGCCGTCGAGCGTCATGGGCTCGACCTTGTCCGAAGGATCACCTGCATCGCCGTGGACCGCGCAAGCACCTGCCTCCGCCGACGCCACTGCCGCCTCGCCGCGCTCCAAGGCGCGCATTCCAGCAAGCCGAGCCCGACGACGTCGGCGCCGCTCCCGCTGCGCGTCCTTCGTCGCCCTCCTGCCGTCGTCGCCAGGCTCCTCAGCCCCCGAAGCAGCCCCCGCGGGGGGGCGGCGGGCGGGCAACGGCCGATGCCGCCGCCGCCACCGCCGCGCGAGTGACTGCGCCCAGGGAGCGCCGAGGCGCACCAGCGCCCTGCGCCGCACGAGCGGCCGCGTCCACCAGAACGGCGGCCTCTGCAGCGCTGATGGCCCCTCTAGGCGCCGCCATCGTCGGGCCCGACGCTCCGCCCGAAGGGACCGCCCCCGACGACTGCGACAGCCGTGCGATCGCTTGAGCCAAAATGACGGCGGCCGAGGATAACACCGTCTCCTATTGGTTGCGCCATAGGTTGCGCCCTCGGCCGCCAATAATAAAACCGTCGCGTAAGGGGTGCGACTAGTCAGTGGCCAGTCGCAGTCAGTCAGTCAGTCAGTTAGTCAGAAACGCGAACTCCGACAAGCACATGTGTGGGAAAACTCAAAAAAGGCATGCCAACGCAATCAGCAGTGTCAATCTATCGCTATCCGCATTGCAGGTACAATCTCCATTGCCCTTCTCAAGCCGATGCCTGTCATCCTGTGAATGTGCCGACCTAGTGGTCACAATTCGCTGGCTCACCACATTGAGTTGCAAGAGGTCATGCGCACGTTTGTCTTCGCCTCTGCCCTCAAACGTCTTCGAGACCATGCTTCCCTTGGACCGTGTAAGCTGCGATCGTGAAACTCTCTTGCCCGCA